ATGTTAATGCGAGCCGGTGCACATTGACACGCTAATCTTGCCACATCGATTTCACATCCGAATATTAACAATACGTCCAACAAAATGAAACAGCAGGTGTCTAACTCTTTTCCCCAACTTTTTGCCGAGCGCAAGGTGGAATTGTTGCACCTTGGTGATTTCTTTTCTTCCATTTTCGTGCAATTTACCATTCCCGGAAGTTACGCTCGGCGTGCACTCGAGCAGCTCGCAATAAAGTCGCGCGTAAAACGAAGAGCAATTAAAAAGGAGAGGAAACCCCCTGTAATCGGGGATTCGAACGATCGCAGAAAAAAAAAGCAGAATATTTTTTATCGATTCTGATCAATTTCGTTAAGAAGAAAAGCACAATAAATCACGCGCGTTCCGATTAGCATTGAAATAACCCGACTGCTAATAATCCATAAGCTGTTGAAAATGTTCTCAATCTGATATTGCTCGATCGTTAAATATAAACGTCTTGCAGCACTTCCAGTTCTTCTGCCGGTTGTTCGTTTTTTTTTTTTCTTTTTTTCTTTATCATGTTTTTTCTTCTTTTTTTTCTTTTTTTTTTTACTCTGTGCAGTCATGATATTCTCTCGACGGAGGCCGAGCCTCGATGAATGACAATCACGTTTATTTATTGCGCCGCGCAAAAAAAGCTGTTGCTCGGTCTGTGTTTCACGCGCGAGTAACACAGAAGAGACGTTGTTATGCGTTACGAGGCAAATTGCATGCGTAGTATATGGTGGATCGATGAATCTCGAGTCGAGTCACGAGTCTATTTTAAAATTTTCGCGACACGTTCGAGCTCTTTTAATTTGCAAAACTGAACTTCGTTCAGCCGCGGTTATGTTATTTGTATATTAAAATTGACAACAGTCAGTTAAAAAAACGTGTGAATGTGGCATAGAAGGCAAAATTCTATTCTAACATTTTTTTTTTTTTTTGCTTAGCAACTGTTTACACAGGGTCGAAAACATAAAAGTATAAGGAAAAAACCAATTTTATTAATTATAATAAAAAAATATATATAATAAAATATAATAATAATAAAATTTATAATATAAAAAATAATAATAAATATATATAAAAAATATATATAAAATATAATAATAATAAAATTTATAATATAAAAAATAGTAATAAATATATATATAATAAAATATATATAAAATATAATAATAATAAAATTTATAATATAAAAAATAATAAATATATATATATAATAAAATATATAATAAAAAAAATTACGGATTTATTTCAGTAGAAGTTTTTTTTTTTTTTGCAATGGGGAGGGAAACTTTTGCAACTAATACGCGATGTTGCATGCGACTCTTTATACATTACAATGCGAAATAAATTGTAAAATAAATTATAATACATTTACTTACTATAATACTTCATACGTTACGAAATAAATTGTAAATGTATTGTAAAATAAATCTTTGGTTCGGATGGAGCGAATTAATGAGCCGTGATGTAACGGGAAGAGTTTAGGATTTAGGATGGTCTGCCATAGGCTTACGATCGTTCCGGTTTTTCTGCACAGAAACGTTCGCAGAAGTGGCAAGTCGAACTGGCCACTGGGAAACTGGTTTATCTGAAACGCTAATCGATTCACACAAATTTATAGCGAGGCATAAATGCACCGCTGTGCGTAACTTACTCTCAATGCTTGCAATATCTTTATCGCTTAGAGAAATTAATGACCTCCATCTCTCGCGTGTGTCTCTCTTTCACGGTTAGATAACCATTATTAGCCGATCAATCCTTTTTTTCGTAGCTGTTAATGCCGCGATCAAACGAAATGTGTTTGTTTGGTGGATATTTAAAAGTCCATTTAAAAGCGAATAATTTACAAATATCGATAATAAGAGAAAGATGAGAATTCTTTGGGAAGCGTGTCGTAGAAAATGACATATTGCTGAGACGAAATGTGTTTTAAAGTGTTACGAGATTTCAAACTGTTCGTTTCTTTATAATTTTATAAAAGATACGGGTGTTTTTTGTCGAAATTAATAGCAGTTTCTGCAATCTGTACAGAGATACAATTGTATAAATTTATTTATTAATTTATTAATACATTTATTTAATTATTTCTATTTAAATTGTATTTAAATAATAAATTTATTTATTAATTGTATTTAAATTGCGACGATTTATATGTAGAACATTCTGACACGATTCTGTTCTAAATATTTCCATTTATTTATTCGTAATAATTTTGCAACGCGACGTTATCGCGACAACTTTTTTTTTTTTAACAACCAAAATATACATCAGGTGTAAGCCAAGTATATATCTGATCACCCACTATGAAAGTGCTAGTATATGTTCGCTTTGTTATTCCTCGTTTCGAACTGAAGTTGCTTCTAATCGTCGTATATAGAAATTGCATTCTAATGCCTCTAGATGAATGATTAGCCAGTAGCATAAAGTCCCTTGGTTGATCTGGGTCAGTGACTATCGTTGTTACTCTCTATAACTGGCACAGTTTAAGCTAAGTACTTTGAATTCTCTTACGGTGATGCCACAAATATACATTTGCAATGATCGATAATTGCTAGTTTTTATCTTTAACTTTGCTACATATCTCGTTCGTAGAATTTTGTCACTCTAATCATCATTCCATCGACAGATGGGAACCATCTTCTTCAAACGAAGCAAATTCCTCTGTTTTCAATTTGGAACTCGAGCTCGAAGCCCAAAAAAGTTGATTGTACTTTATAAAATGGATTTCGTGTTTCGAGAGTTAGAGTTAACGCTGTCAATGTTAATTTCCAGGAAAAATCCAGATTCTCGTTCCTTCCGGATCTATTATTATTCATAGATCAGAATATGTTATTTATATTTCAATTTTTTTTTATCTATAATTTCCATAATTGGTATTTTCTGTTTCATTCTGTAATTGATTTTCAATTTTTATTTAACTCCATTGAAATTACCATTAAAACGTCCTGAAAAAAAAAGGAAAACCGCGCTCGCAAGCAGACGTTCTCCATTCATGGTTCTTTATTCGTTTTATACTTGTTGTACTTTTCATACTTTCTTGTCTATATCAAATAAAATTTCGAGAGGGGATCCATCTTTTTAAATAAATCGACATACAGCCAAGATAAGTCATTGTTTGAGTTTCAACTTCAAAGATTCGTCTCTGTTCGCCTCCGTAATCAATCCAACCGTCGTAGCAATCGTTTCTGTACCGCGAGCGATCGTCTTCTTCGAGCAGCTACGATCTTGGTCGGTTACGTCATCTCGCGAGAGACCCAATTTAATTATCAATGATGCCATTACAACAGCTGCCTCCAGTCGTGACACCGGGAGATTACAGTACGTGTTTGCGATCTTCTTCAAACCGTACGATCGTAAATACCATCATAAACTACGAGCGATAATACTCTCGCCGCGAACGGTAGCTACCCTTGCCCCACGTTTTCGCAACGTGCCTCGTCTTTGTTACATAAAACGACCCGCGCGACACATTTCTCGTTCCGTTTAAACGATCGTTTGTTCGTTTGAACGATGAATAGCAGTTTGTTACGAGAGACGACGTGTTTCGATTCTCGAATCGCTTCAGCCAAATCGTCGACGCGATACAGTCACAGGAGAATGCTTTCTGCGCCAATTAGAACACGATTGGATATTATGACTATAGTTTATTTGTAATCGTTGCAGTCTGCGATTATTTCGCTCGAATCATGTAGAGCGTGCCTTTTTGATGATTCGACCAAAATTACCGCTCTAAATATTCCTTTATTTGTAATCCATTGTTGGATTCCGCGTGAAGGAGTCAAACACTTAATGTAGGATGGTCACTGGAAAGATATGAAACTGAATAACTTTTTTAGTCACGTGTTTTTTTAATTTTTCATCATTAAACTCGGCGAGTTTTACTCGTTGCTGGAAATTCTGCATAGCCATTTTAATTTCCAAGAGATGCTCTACAAAAAAAGAAAATAAAAAAGGTTGAAACAGCGACTTTATGGTGCGTTCTAACAGCGACTTTATGGACGTGTGAATGTTTATGATTTGAATAATGGTAATAGTTAGTTTTGTTATTTGATTATTTAGACTTACGCTGATGCTGCAACTATGACAAATCAAATGTTAGTTAGTTCGTAATCCAGAATCGTAAAGTCGCTGTTAGGACGCACGCGTCCGCAAAGTTAACTTTTTCGCCATTTTTCAAGAGAACTGTTAGATTCCTTAGAAATCAAATGCTTAATATAGGGTGATCACTAAAGGATATAAAATTGAATGATACAGCCATTTTAATCTCCAAGGGATGTTCTGTAACCTACAAAAAAAGAAAATAAAACAGCGACTTTATGGTGCGTTCTAACAGCGACTTTATGGACGTGTAAATGTTTATGATTTGAATAATGTTAACAATTAGTTTTGTTATTTGATTATTTAGACTTACGCTGATGCTGCAACTATGACAAATCAAATGTTAGTTAGTTTGTAATCCAGAATCGTAAAGTCGCTGTTAGGACGCACGCGTCCGCAAAGTTAAATAATTAAGAAACTTTTTTTGCCATTTTTCAAGAGAACTATTAGGTTCCTTCGTGATAAGTAGAATACAATGCAAAAAAAAAAAAAAGTTTTTTTTCACTTTGAAATTCAATTTTGTGACAGGTTTTTTACACGTGTTTCTACCAAATCGAAGGTATAGAATTCATCTATGATGGACAAATTTTTCTTTACACCCCGTACGTGTGGATTCTTTCACGCATGTACGCGTCTTCTAAGTTAAAGAGAAATTAAACTTAATTCACCCTGTGAAATTCACATTTCTTCGCCAAATCTAAGAAAACTGTCAGTTGCGATTCTTTTTGGTAATTTCCTCTTCGAAAAGAGAAAGAAACGCCTGATTGGTTCTTTCCTGCGGAAGTGTCACGGGAGCACGGTTTCTCTCGCAATCAGACAAACGAGTCCACAACAACGAGCGATCAATTATATTCACAGAGTGTACATATTCCACTTTGTCCGGAATTTAGACGCAAAAATAAAAAAGGAGATGTGCGCGCGCGTGTGCCCAGAGACTTTCTTCAAGCAAGTCGAAATCACCACGGTGTGATTGACGACTTGACGTGTGAGGACCGTGGATCTGACCGGATGGATCTGAACGTGTGCTCGCGGCGCGTGCACGACGGCTACGCGACCATAAGGTCGCGAGGTCGCAGCAGGCCTCGAGCCGTCTACAGGTCCGACTCGGAGGAGCTGCTCAAAGAAGCCGGCGGCCCGTACGCGCTCCCCCAGCTGTCCAACTTTCCCGTGGTGGTCGCGAGCAACAACGATCTGCAACAGGTGCCGAGATGGAGCGACCTCGGCAAGGATTGCCTGCTGATCGAGAACTACGGGACGCTGAGAGGCTCGAAGAGGGGAAATCCTTGGCCGGAGGGGCGCAGGCTGGTGACGCTGAATACGTTCAGCAAGATCGAGCAAGGCCGCGGCCAAGGACAGCCGAGCGACGCGTTCTCGGGTAGAAACGGATCGAACGAGAGGAAGCAGGACTCGTCGATGGAGAATGGCTCGATCGATCGCGCGGAGGAACGCAGTTTGCGTCCATTCCGATCGAACAGCAACGCTTTCAACGATCGAGGCTCGCCCACGAGGTTCGCCGAGGATCACTACCGGCCTACCGCGATGCTCGACTCTGATCTGAAGAGGCTGAAGGAGATCGAGGGCAACGCTTCGGACCTTTCGGCGAGAAGAGGCGGGAGAAGGGAAGACGCGAGGTTGAGGAGAATCGGCGAGACGAAAGGCAGGCAACCGATCTACGCGGTGCCGAGCAGCATACTGCCGAGGTCGAGGCGCGACCGTCGCGTGGCGATCGTCGACGGGAACTACGTTCCGAGCGGCGATCTTTACCGCACCACGGCCAAGTACATCGAGGACATCAACAAGAACATCGCGGAGATCGACAAGAGTTACGAGGAGCTCAAGTCGTCCTCCGGCTCGAGGAACTCGTCCACTTACGGCGTGATCAACAGGATCGCCAAGGGCGAGACGATCGATCGGACGACGGTGGATCTGTGCGGCTACGCGAGGAAGAGGGACATGGCGCCGATGCCGCCGATATCGTGCGACTTTGGCGAGAGTCTTTTCGAGAGGCAGTCGGACTCGGACGCGAAAACGGAGAGCCTGGACAGCGGCACGGTTCTGACGCTCAAGAGCAGCAGGCCGAACTCGTTCGGCAAACATCCGCCCAAGTTACTCCCGAGGTCGTCGTCGATAGAGAACACGTCGAGGCACTCGACGGGATCGACGACCACGTCCTCGACGAAATCTACCGAGTCGCTGTACGCCATCAGCGAGGTTGGACAGAGCGGGCGAAACGGAAGCGAGTACTTGAAATCGGGTGTCTTTCAGAACGGTAGCTCGAAGAATCCGGCGAGTACGGAAGGTTCGGACGAGCTCGAGTCCAAGGACGAAATGTCCTCCACCGACGACGACAGGCCGACGATCGTTCGCTCGGTGGATCGTCTGCCGGTCACCAGTTCGATTCGAAAGAATCGTTCTCGAGTCGACTCGTCGCAGGACAGGGTTCGAGTGACAACGTGCCAGGTGTCGTCCAGCGTTCGTCGATCGAACGATCTGGTCGCGAGAGAAGACAAGAGTTTCTACAAATCGCAGCCAGCGGCGGCGAGATCAATTCCCAGCGAGAGTAGTGGTTACTCGGAGAGGAGATACGACACGTTGCCCACGCGAAGATCGAGAGCCACCTCGAGACCTCTTCACAAATCCAGCGAAGACGTGCTCGACGGTGAACGACTTGTTCGCGCCAGATCGTCGTCGCTTCACCGACCTTGCGTCAGCGACGTGGACGTCAGCGAACGGAACGCTGAACGCCTCGATAACCGGAGGAATAACTTGGACAACTTGTTCGGCAGACCGCCACCCTTTTATTTGATGGACGCCACCGACGTTATATTGCGCGGGCAGCTGGACAGAACCAGTCGCGGACTTCATCAGTGGCAAGATCATCCCTCAAATCCGGCGAAATCGTCCTGTCGTAGAACCAGACACAACTCCTTGGAATCGGAGGAGCCGGAGAACAAAGACAACGACGACAATCGCCGACACGCGGGCGGTTTCGCCACTTTGCCTCGCAGGGGCAATCTGGCGAAAGATCAGCCCTCCAACGATCCTCTCAGACGTTTGTCCGGCAACGTGCCGATCCTCGAGCCGCTTTACGAGCACGCGGTCAGCGATCCGGTCAAGCCGAGGAGCAACGAGAACGTCATCCCTTGGTGGGAACTGGCCACCAGGAAGTACAGACATCGAAGTTGCCCGTCGCTGCAGGTAACGCGAACAGAGAGATCTCTGTTTCTCTCTTCGTTTGTCATTGCGTTGTAAAACGAATCCAAAATGTCTTTGATGTGAACAGTGTTGAGGATTGGTTTTTCTCAATTTTTCAATCGTCGAAGCTTTTTATTTCGCGGGAATTTCAGTTTTTTTTTTTTTTGAGAACTCAAATCGACGCGTTTATATATAGATCTTTATTATTTAGGCCACGGTTAGAATGCAAAGAAAAACGTAAGCAAGAATATTTAATTATTAGGTTCGAGAAAAATATTAATTATTTTATTTTCAATTTTTATTATTATTCTGATTTTTATTTATCATTTACTCATTTTATATTTCTTCTTCGCGCAAATGATTTCTCATGCATTTTTTTTTTATCATTTCACTATTTCTTCTTGGCTTGAGCTCCAAGAGTTTCGAATTCTCAGAACACGAAACTTTCTTTGGTTTAGAATTAGGTTTCGAGTAACACATCCCCGATACGATATTACGTTAGACTCGGTCAGATTATTCTTTTTCTTTCTCTCGGAAATTTCTCGCAGTGAAACGGAGCTTGAGGAATTTTGAACCAGTGGTCTTCGAAGGAAGAGGAAATGAATAAATTCGAACGCGGGCACTCTCGGTCGTCAAGGCGACTTACGTGATTTATTTCACTGCCTTATGTCACTGCTTAAACAGCTGCGGGTAGGTGGAGGTACTCGAATAATAAATTCGATAATAAGACGTCACGGGTGGAGCCGTCAAACGAAATTAAAGCCTGAGCGCATACCATCGCGACCATTAGAAAGACGATGTGTAACAAAGCGTAGGTCGACAATGCCACTCGTGGCTCCCGATTGAATAATTACGTGCTCGCCCCTTCTGTATCCTCTTCGAACCTGCCAATCTCTCGTTTCGAAAAATTCAATTTCCTACGCTTCGTTCGTGCACACATCGTGATCCAGAAGTTCTCGATTACAAAGCCAAATGTTTGAAATAATTCTTCACGGTGAACGACCTGAAGACTGTTCCCTTATCATTCTAAGATATAAAAAAAAAAAAAAGTCACGAAGCACTCTAGCGTAGACATACAAGTTTCTCTTTCTCTCTGGGTTTCGATATTGAAACAAATCACGTGACAAAACGATTGCACTCCTCTGCCGAGCGTGACTACTCGACGTCAGTTTTTCATCACAGGAATTTTTAAATTGCCAGGAAAAAAAATAATAATAATAATTAGAAAGACAGTTTGACGCGCAAAGGGTTAATTGTTGAAACTGAACGCCGACGTTGAAGAACAAGATGCTAAAGTGGATTCGTGTCATTCCGAGCAAAGGAGTGGAACATTTGTTAACTATTGTATAGAGAAACGTCAACGTAGCAGTCGAAATTCAAGTCACGGTGTTCCCTTTAAAACGTGACTTTTGTTTGGAGAGCCACGTTCGGGACATGGTTGTTTGTCCCCGAAATTATTCGACCAACCACAGAAGGTAGTAAATCGATGCCTCGCGTAGCTTTAGCCTTATTCTTGTAGCCAGACCCTTCTCAAATGTTTCTTCGAAAAAAAGAAAAAGTATATATATATATTCCACATATTTGTAGCAGGTAGTTGTCCTAAGAAAACATTTACGCCCCATGTTCTAGTGCGTCCATCGATAATCAATCTCGAACCAGCAAATACACTCGTTTGTGCACTCGCAGATGTTCCCGGTTACATTTTTTTATCTGGTATTTCAAATATTCTCATTCCTCGTGATGTTTAGTGATTGGGCAAACTTCCTGTTGGAGATAAATCTACTGCCGTGATAGCGACTGTCGTCTGAAGTGCATTTATGCCAGAGAATTCGACAACCATTAAACGTAATTAAAATCATTAAGAATGTCAGTCGATGTAGCCGCCATACGTGCTTTGTGCTTTGGAATTTTTCCATCGTTTTTTGTTCCATTTGCAGCTGTCGAGTGAGAATGCAACAAGCTGACAGTGCACCATGCAACACCATACATCTATCATGCGAACAGTTTTCAATAACGTTGTTTGACTCTCGTTCAACGTTAACCTCTTGCGCTAGTAACTGATTCGCGGACCGTAACGAGTGACCAAAACGTACACAACAATTCGTCTTCTTTTTTGAATTCAGCGGTACATTATTGGATAGAAATTACTAAAAAATAATAAATTTATTATTTACTTTGCCTGGGTTATATTTCGATATACTTAAAGCTAAGAAAGTATTGCAATTTTGGGTCAAATATTTTGAAAGTGCCCTTAACCTCTTGTGCTAGTAACTGATTCGCGGACCAAAACGAGTGACCAAACCGTACACGACAATTCGTCTCCTTTTTTGAATTCATCGGTACATTATTGGATAAAAATTACTAAAAAATAATAAATTTATTATTTACTTTGCTTGGGTTATATTTCGATATACTTAAAACTAAGAAAGTATTGCAATTTTGGCCCAAATATTCTCAAAGTGCGCTAGTAATTGGTTCGCGGACCTTAACGAGTGACCAAATACAACAATTCTTCTTTTTTTGAATTCATCGGTACATCATTGGATAGAAATTACTAAAAAGTAATAAATTTATTATTTACTTTGCCTGGGTTATATTTCGATGTACTTAAAACTAAGAAAGTATTGCAATTTTGGGTCAAATATTTTGGAAGTGCGCTTAACCTCTTGCGCTAGTAACTGGTTTGCGGACCATAACGAGTGACCAAACCATACACAACAATTCGTCTTATTTTTTGAATTTATCGGCGCATCACTAGATAGAAATTACTAAAAAGTGATAAATTTATTATTTACTTTGTCTAGGTTATATTTCGATATACTTAAAACTAAGAAAGTACTAAAATTTTGAGTCGAATATTCTCGAAGTGCGCTTAACCTCTTGCGCTAATAACTGATTCGCGGACCATAACGAGTGACCAAACCGTACACAACAATTCGTCTTATTTTTTGAATTTATCGGCGCATTACTTGATATAAATTACTAAGAAGTAATAAATTTATCATTTGTTTTACCTGGGTTATACTTTAATATACTTAAAACTGAGAAAATATTGCAATTTTGAGCCAAATATTCTCGACCGTGCGTAGTACAAGAGTGATGAATCATTCCAACGCAAAAGGTTAATCACTTGCAATTTACTATTTTTATGAACGTCATTAAATAACTCTGTGACGTGTCGTGCACGTACGTATATGGCAACGAATTTTAACGTGTTACAGCTGCACGAAGGGACCACGTGGTCCTCATACGTTACTCTTTTGGAATTTATGTAATCTCCTTGCCAGTTGGTTGTTGTAGATTTAAAGTGTTTAAGGATCTACTGTCGGTCAGGCGATTACAGTTTGCGTAAATAAATAAATATTCGAACAGTAGCAGCGCGCTATTGGAAAATGAGCACGGGCAAAGAACTCTCGCTGAAACAACCTATTCAATTACCCACGTACACTCGAAACCTCTTTCGCCTCCACTTGTAACTCGTGCATAGAGTGCGTTCTCCTGACCACTCCAACTGCTCCTCCGAGGAACGACCTTTCGCCCATTTCTTTTTTTCTCTTTTTCTTTTTCCAACCACCGCTACGTTTCATTTCCCTCGTTGCAGAACGTTCATTTACATTCTGTCTTTCGTCGAAAATATTCTTATGAAATATTTTAATACGCTTCAATGGGAAATCCCGTGGACGAAAGTATTTGCGCTTTTCTTGATAAAAAACTGTCTGTACTTTGTAAAGAAATAATCCAGTTGGCTTCGTTTGTCAAAGTATGGAGCCCCCACTTTTGTAATCCTGCGTTAATTTATAATATATATTTATAATATATATCGACAGTTCTCGAAAATTGTTCAAATTCAAATATTGAAAAATTTCTCTTTCAAACTAAATTCGATCTGAAAGTTTAAAGTCTCCTGAAAGAAATTGTCATATGATTTCTTTTCGTCATTTTATTGACAAAGAGAAATCGTATTTTTGTATTTTTGATATTTTTAGGGCCAAATGACAAAATGTTAGTATTCCTTGAATTTTTGTTTTTTTAACTCTGGTGAGTTAAGAATTCAATAAAATGGCGGGAAAAATCGGGACGAATTAAGGGATGAATACGGTGATAGATTTAGTCATGAATAAAATTTTTTCAACAATTTCGTCGACATTTAGATATTTATAATTTTCGGCAGCAAGAGCATCCTTGCTGTTTCACTTGCTGCGTAACGCAAGGAGAAAAAAGAACACTCGAGATTTGCTTTAAAGTAAAATCAACTAACTTTCTACACAAGAACCAGATTAAACGTCGAGTATGTGACGTTCGAATTTTCTTTTTTTTATACAAACTGAACCAACGTAAGGACCAGGAAACCTCTTAAGCTATTTCTATTATACGATTTCCTACCGAATCTTTAAACTACCTCGGAACACGGTTTTCCACGGTGGAAAATGAAAAAGAAAAACACCTCGTGAATAGGCCGCGATCGTGTGCAGGTATAGAAAAGTCCCAAACCCAAGGATATTCGATCTAACGTTGCCCCGTTGACCTGTTCACGTCGAAATATACAAGCATCACGTGGAGCGAGGGAAAGTCGAGAACACATTAAAACTGTCGCTGGGATCCGTGGTAAGCCATTTCACTCGTTTGGGACACGCTGGGTACCAAGCCTTGCTGCAGGCAAGCTCTCAACTCCCCCACAAAACGAAGATTTATCGTTTCATGGCTCGCTGAAACGTTTTAGTCTGGTATTAGGCGCGAGTGCACCGAAAAAAGAAAAAAAAATCTCCGTCTTTTTCTACGAGAATGAGAGTCTTTTTCTATGAGACGTTGTCGATGTTATATGTACTATATATCGTATATTTACTGTATATATTGTTACTATATATGTTAATGTATGTTATATATATATATATATATATGTACTACGTATGTTAATATATGTACTATATATGTTAATGTATGTTATATATATGTACTACGTATGTTAATATATGTACTATATATGTGAATACATGTTATGTATATGTACTATATATGTTAATATATGTTATGTATATCTACTATATATGTTACATATA